GATTAATATTAATATATCCAAGTGTTCTTGATAATATTTTTGTATAAACGTAAATTTCTCCACAATAAAAGGTAACAAATATTGAATAAAATATTTACTCTCATTTTGTGAAACAATCCTTAATTTCATATTTTGCCATTTAGTCTTCGCATATCATCATTATGGATTGCGAATGGAGAGCTGAATGTAACAAATATGATTTGTAAATGAATGTGCAATCAGTAATCGATGAAATATTGATCTTCACTCGAAAAACACAAGCCCGGTCATAAGTCCAAATCCAGCAATGGAAAATAATATTTGTACTACGGAGACAGCTTGCGCAAGTTCGCGTCCTATAATTTCAATAAAGGTAACATAAAGGAAGGTACCAGTTGCAAGGCCGTTGAGGATGGCTGAAGCCAATGCCCGGCTCATTTCGTGACCTTCTATTCTGCCTATCATAATCCCAATAGCTATTCCGATAGGCGAGATGCAGGCGAAAACAATCATTAAGCAAAATGATTTCCTCACTGTCCAGATTGTATACTCAAATATTTGCACACCCAAAGTGAAACCAATGAGTATTTTGTGAATAATTACTGCCGTAAATATCGAATAAAGCTTTGAGATATCTGTCTGCAGACCGAGACTGAGTCCATCAAATATGGTGTGTAAGGAAAGTGCCAAAAAAAGTAACACAGAACGTACCGCCATCTCTTCTCCATCGCTGGCCGAGAATGGCTGCGGACTGTTGTTGGAATCATTACTATTGTCCACAAACGAATCTGATGAAGTATTTCCGTTCTCAATGGTGGGGACAGACTTTATGCCATTTTGTTCGTTCTGTTCATTATCACTGAAACTGTTGGTTATCGTTCCATATTTGCAAGTTTTTTGATCAGGTGCTAGTGACCCTTCTACTGGAGAACTCTCTTCTTGCAGTCTGTCGTATTCTTTATGAATTTCAACTGAATGTCTTTCTTTGGAGTTTTTTTTTAAAAGGTATTGCGATACAAGAATCTCGGTGATAACCACAAGAAAAAAACCAACAACAACTAGAAATTCAGTTGCTGGAAAATCCTTGGCATTCTTTAATTTGGCAGTAAAAACATTTATATGCTCTCTCACCTCGGGAAACAAATGCATAAAACATACTCCAAGGAAGACGCCTCCACTGAACATATTCAAGCAGCTGAAGATTAGCTTGATTCTTCCTTTCTGACTGATATTATATTTGCCCCTTTGTTTACGAAATGATCGGAGCATGAGGCCCGGAGCTAGTCCCGCAAGTAAAGTGGCAAATAAAACTGAGAATAAGACAATACATTTATGGAGGACTATTATGGTCATTTTTAAGTTCTTGCTCGTAGCTGCGTTGAATTTTAGTTAAAAGTTCTCACTGTTTAAAATCCCTTTTAGTTTCCTAACTGTGTTGTAGAATTTATCGAGGACAATACAAATACCAATTATACCATTCAATTCCGTCCATCAAAAGTGATTTTGAAAATCTTTTTTGCTTGTGGATAGCTGCAAAAGAAAAACAAAATATTTCAGTTGGTGAAAAGAACGAAATAAACATTAAAATGGGATGACGTGTACATACGATGAAGTTCTAAAGCATTCACTGTCCAACCAAGAAGCCCTGCCGAAATTTATTTTTATCATTTTTCACACTTTAAGAAGCAGGTCCACTAGAGATTTCAGCACTTGCTCAAGTTAACAGTGTAATGTTGCTGCTAGTCCCTATTGCTGGTGGTCGACGTTTTTACAGCGAATTTTGGAATTTCATTTTAGATAGCAGAAATCTTTAACGGAATGTGTTGCTGAAAATTCTCAAAATCGTTGTCCTGATATAATTGATTCATGTACATGGGAATAGGTATATATTGAACTGTAATAAACACGCTAATGATATTACGCAAGTTGAAAATGAAAACATCAAAATAATTGATTTGCAATATTTTTCGTCCGAATAATTTTTCGGAGACAGAAAGATTATTCAGTTTGGAATTTCTAAAAAAATGCCGATAATTTTGTTGCCGTGGTTTAGGTTATTAGGGAAAATATGTATATATCAGAAGGCATTATTTGTGTTGGCTGTGTGAAAATAAACTTCTCCACAAACATTTAAATTTGGGTATGGCACAAGGTTATCAAATCTAAAATATAAAACAACGATATGTTTTCTAGAAATAACAAAACATTTTGAATTTACTCAGGTAATTTAAACTGAGTTGCAAATTGTTACAAAGTGTATGCTAATATGTAGCATTTATAATTAATAATATAGCAGTAGTTAAACGTGTATAACTACTGCTATATTAAAAGTTCTAAGAGAAAATAGTTTTATGATCTGCTGAACTCACAGAAAAGATTTCAGTTCATGAAATAAAGTTCAGTCTCCATGAAAGAAATGTTCTACGATAAAAGTGTTATAGACTGGAAAGTTTGTATGGGAAGAGTTCAATGAAACTTGTTTAATGAAAGGAAATTGTAGTCTTCACTTGCAATAACAAGGAGTTGTGTTTGGTACTAAAAATATAGTTTTTAGTTTTTAAACCTCTGAATAAAATTTAGCATAAATAAGATGAAATAACTTGCTGCTTAAATTATTCACCGAAAAGAGTCGAATATGAGTGAGAGAATTCTGGAAAGCTGAGAATATGTTGAACCGAAACTTATACCTCCAGAAGATTTTGAATTAATATTTCTCGCTAGTGAATATTGGCAAGAGGAAAAGTTGTATTCTCTTGGACGGCACGTTTGTTGCTGAAGAAAATCTCACTGTTAGAAGTTGATAAGTTTCTGTTGCTTGTAGATGAAGGAGTGAATAAGATGAGTTAAGATGTGTGAAATGTTCGTGCGTACGTGTGTTTGAGTGTGCGTTTGTCATATGTCCTCCCAGACTTAAGCATTTCAATGAACTACATTGTGTTTCTGAGAAAAACTGAGGAAAGAGAAAGAGTTGAAGATTTATTTATAATGTTGTATGTCACGTGATAGATTCGAAACATATAGACAGATTTTTGGCGGTATATTTATTTTAACCGTGCGGATGTTGTGGAAAACATGATATTGGCATTAATTGACCAATCAGGTGTCAGAGAAATATCAAGGCTCTGTGATCCCCTTTTTACAGATTTTGTCGATCTCAGTACTGTTATGTAGGAAATGTATTAGAATCTTTTTTAATCAATCGAATTAGATCACAAATAAAATATTATTAAATTGAAGTAGAACACTAAAATTTTAACAGCAAGAAGAAACGTGATTTTTAAAGGTGAGTTTATTAATATAAAAGCTTAAGATTTGTATAACCGTCTTTTTCTGTACACGTTATTTAATTATATAATTGAGTATTGTTTAAATAACTATAATAATAATAATAATAATAATATATTACAAAATAAGAACTGCGTGTGATTTTGAATGCGTGTATATGAATATGTATGTTTTTCGTGTAAGTGAATCACCTGTGCTTGTGTCATTTAATGTACACACATACACACGGTTTTACTGAATTTGGAAAAAGACATTAGAATAAAACTGTCTTTTTCCACTTAGTTTGAACACCGAGCCTTGACTGAGTAATGCATAAAAATGGAGACCAAAATAACGATAAAAGAGGGGAAAAATAGAAACTTATCAACAATAAATAAAAAAACTCTCAACTTTTCCTTTGCTTAACTGCGGTTAGCGAGCGTAAGTTTACAATCGATAATTATTTCACTCTGTTTCTACTTTTTGATATCAAATCAAACTATTCATATCTCCCTTTATCAGTCTCTCTATTCTTATCGTATATCTATATCTGTCTATTACCATATATCTATATCTCTCTTCATATCACATATCGCTGTCAGTCATTTCATATCTGTTTATTGATACTTAAAACCTGTTGCATACTGAAAGCCACTAATTAAATGTTCATCTTTTTATAAATCGATAAAATGAATTTAGGTAAAAATGAAAAAATGGCCACAAATAATAAATTCAGACGAAAAATGGTAAACTTAGCATTAAAAACAAGAAAATAGTGCTGAATTGCAATGCAGTTTCAATAACCCTATAGAGTAGGAGATGCAGGACTATTTTCGTTCGAGAAAAGATTCAGAAAAGACTTTGGATATATAAAATGAGAGCAACGTAGAATATTTAGTGAAAATTCAAACAGAAAAGAAACCTGTGCATAGAAGCAGAAGGGGACATATAATGAGGCTTGGAAAATTGACAGACTTGGAGCATATTGAAAGGAAGAGGTCACGAGTAATCTACCTAACGAACTTGGTTAAAAATAAAATGAATAGTAGAACAAGGACTGGCAGTGACAGTAAGGAAACAAATCTCACAAAAATAGGAAGTTGAGAAGAACCATGTTTGCCGACGTTCTGAAGGGACACAATACATATAAGTATAAGATGTGTATTAATGAAAGACACTCACACACACACACACACACACACACACACACACAAAAAAAAAAAAAAAAAAAAACTCACACACACGGGTGTGTGCGCGGATGTATGTGAGCGTTTTCCTATAAAATCATTTATCAGTAACTAGTTGACAAGTTTTATACCTGACTGTTAGAAATGTTCCAAAGATAACACCATGTATATTGAAATTGAAAATATGTATGTTAAAAAGCCGAATTAAATTTGAAAAAACGTTACTTACCTCCCTTACACGGTATTCACCAACAATACAATTTGTTTACTTTCTATCGTGGCGACATTGATAAAAAAAAATACATATTGTTAATTTGAAGACGGAATAATAAACTTCAGAAAATCAGCAAGTGGCCTGATAAAGTGACCATTCTCAACAAATGTCCTATTTATATAAAACATTCCAAAAATATGTATTATCATAAGATCGAAGGTCAGTAAGCAGATGCTAAATAAACGCATTACTACGATACGAAATGGATATGTTTGCGTGGTGCGTGCGTGCGTGCGTGCGCGCGCGCACGCGCGTGTGTGTGTGTGTGTCTGTGTGTTAGGAAAGAAAATGGAAATTTACACATTGTAAAAAGGGGAAGAGGGAAGGACATGTGCCATTATGTGAGTGTCAGTGTGTAACTGACAGAGAGAAAAAGAGAAAGAAAGTGGAATAGAGATAGTATAATCTATTTTGGAAAAAACTTCAAGGCGTCAGCATATACACTATAGACTATAGAGAAAGGGACAAACGGATCATATATAGTTAGAATTTTGTTTTTAAAATGTTTACACACACACACACACACACAAACACATATATGTATATAAAGAGAGAAAAGTGGGAGATAGATAGATAGATAGATAGATAGATAGATAGATAGATAGATAGATATGAACAAGTTGTGATAGATAACTAGACAAATCACGTGCATGTCTTTATTAATTGATCGCAGATTTGTTCTTCAATAAATTCATCTTGAATCCGTATTTCTGCAACAGATTATAAATTTAATACATTTGTAAAAAAAAAAAATCCCAAAACTTCGATATCAGGGAAAAGAGAGTGTGAAATTTAATTTTTTTTTCAGTTTAATTGACATCGACCAGAATAAATTGAATTCTACTTTTTCTACTCTTTAAAGACAATATCGAACCACAAATACATCTGTCGAAAAGCATAAGAAGGTAATTCAAGCAAGTGGATTGTTCTTTCTCATTGCCCACGCTCTTATTCTTCCCAAGGATTTGTGCCCCATTCCGGACTGGTTCCTTTTGCACAATAAAGAATTTATATACAGTATCCTTAAAGTTTATGGTCTGTGAAAATTAGTCAAATTAAATGCGTCGTTTCTACATAAATTTATATTAATGGGTTTCGCTGGGCGTTTAAAAACGATATTTTTTTCCTATGAAAAAATTGAAAAAGAGAGTCACGAGCGATGAAAGAATAATATATTCCAAAAATCTAAAACTGATACAAGATATTCTTCAATATCTTCATGCAACATTCTGTGTCCGATGATTAAATCCATAATTTGCAAAATACAAACAAGTCAAAGGAGGAATTTATGAATGTTATGTTGAAGAACAAAATTTAAGATTAGAATTTGTGAAAGGAAACTCAGAAAAAACAAAAAGTTTGGGGCACCTAGTCTAGATCATACTCGCTATTCAGTCTTAACTGATCTAACATGAAAAACATGCCAACCATTACACCACATCGAAGTGACTTATTTCTAATGCAGAAAAATAATTTATATAATAAATTGCTGGAAATGCTTGAAGATGCATAAAACGTACTATCGTCATTCGTTTGTGAACTGCGTATCCAAACTGCTTACACACACACACACACTTAGTGGCTTTATTGCCTTGCCTGGAGTGAAATAATAACACACACACACACACACACACACACACACACACATATATATATATATATATATATATATATATATATATATATATATATATATATATATATATATATATACATATATACATAAACACACACATATATATATATATATATATATATATATATATATAAACACGCACACATATATATATAAACACACACATATATATATAAACACGCACATATATATATATATATATATATATAAACACATATATATATATATATATATATATATATATATATATATATATATATATATATATATGTTATTATTTCATTCTACACAAGGTAATAAAGTCACTAAGACACAATTGATTATGGAGTGTAATAGAATAAGAAAAAGATAAACATTATTAAGGAGAGATAACAATAAAAGAAGCGGAATCAAAATGACAGTCGAAAACGATTGACATCGCATTTAAATTTTTGAACTTGAAAAAATTTAAATGCGATGTCAATATGAAAAAAATATGAAGCCGAGAGAGAGAGAGAGAGAGTTCCACAGCTAAGAAATGCGAGAAAATAACTGTTAGCAAAGAACTTATGGTTAAATCTAACCAATTCAATTGATAAAAACTTTTTGCCAATCTAGTACTGAAATTAAACTCATAAAGTCTAGGTCCCATAGAGCACAGTTCATCACAAGTTTGATTGTGTGTGTGTGTGTGTGTTTAGCGGAAAATGCGTGCATAACCGAAGAAATAATAAATTTTAAACACGGGTCTACAAATTTTAATTATTTTTATATTTATTCAAGTATTATTTTTCTTTCAAATTGAAAGAAAAAATTACACACACACACACAAACACACACACACACACACAAATGTTTCCGTTCTTAATATAGGAAATATTGTGTAATGTTTTTAACGGGGTGTGTGCCATTGCCCGCTTAAATATGTGCATGTAGCTGGCTACATTGCTTTATTAAATTCCAAAACACCCTTGCTCGGGATTCAAAGTTTGACATAACGGATCTGGGGACAGCAACCACAGGGAGATCGAAGGACGATTATGATGATGATGAAGTGTGTGTGGATAAATTCTAGCAGTAACTTCCAGTGCGAACTCGGAGCAGACGAGTGGAAAAGAAAGGTGAGAGAAGTGCGTTCCCTTAAGGAAGAAAATGATATCGTTATCGTTTTACTATTCAAAGGATACCGCATGTCTCATTTTTCTCCAAATTTGAAATGACGCACTACAAATATCCTCTCCCTTGGATCGATATAAGTATATCGAAAAAGGTTGAAAAATGTGTATTAAATTAATTTAATATATATGATTTGATAATATTAATCTTAGTACTTGAATATTGTTTTGCAAATACTTATTTCTTTGTCTTTTATATGCAAATGATTAGAAGATGAAATTGTCATGAAAGTCTGTAATTATCAATTATTGCATTAGCAAAAGTTCATCTTAGGACTGTTGATTACAATTTTCAGGGTATGCTGGCTTGAACTGTCAGTTGTATCTCTTTTGTTGTTTTTGTCAATTATAACAAAAAATCTCTGATCTTTCTAAAACTCTGTATGATTCATCATCAGATCGTTGAAGTGATTTCTTAAAGGTTTCATGACGAACTAAAATGAATTCACTATTTTTCAGATCCCTAGGTATATATTTTGTGTGGGACTGAACATGTGTCGGTGTAAAAGAAAGTTTCGCCATGTGTTGTTTAAAACGTAACTAGTTGATGTTGGTATATTTTATTGCTTTACAAAAACATTCTTCAGGTAACCGTAATGAAGTACCATATACCAAATCTGCGGCCGTACTTTTAACGTCTTCACTATGGTGGACCGTAGCCCAAGAAGAACTGTTGGTCAGTACTTGCGCCATTTGCTTGCATCTGGTCGAGTGGCGAGTGCGACTTTCAATTGGAGATGAAAACTCTATCAGACCGTTAGCACAGGGATGGTAAGCAGTCCTTTTAATATGGGTAGTATCCAACATCTGCAGAGAGAGAGAGAGAGAGAGAGAGAGAGAGGAGGAGAGAGAGAGAGAGTTCCAGCCACCGGAGGCGACACAACCCAAGTGATTATCTGCCGACACAACCCAAGTGATTATCTGCCGACAAGAACCTCTGACATCAGCCTTGTGCCGAATTTTACGAAATCAGCAAAACAAACATTACCAAGTCAACAAAGTGGCACGGCCCAGTTAGAAGCAGGTTGGGCTGATAATTGTTTGCATGCAAACTCATGGATTTAATAACAATTAACCAATTACTGTACGAAGGACTTGATATAAAAATAATATTTACTATTTTTAATTTATTCGAGTGTAATTTTCTTACTTTGCGTCTTCGCCCTGCTTGGACCAGCCCAATACGAAGATACATGACGACGATTCGATCTTGGCTGCTTTATGAAGAAAGCAAATCACAACGTGGGATAAGGCAGGACTGGGCTCGAAGCCATCACTTCATCTATCAGCCGCTGTGTTGAATGTCTTGGATGACCGGGGAGGGTGTAGGGCGACACAGTGACGTAGTGCCAAATATACATTTCGATAAGTTTATCTTTAAACCGTAATAGATAAAACGTTCGGATATTTCCTGAATATGTTTCTCACGGCTTTCTGCACTGTTATGCACAAATAAAATATTGTCTATATATGCGTAAACGAAGGGTAGACCACGTAGTAATTTAGTAATTTGTCCATAAATCTTTGGAAGGACTGGTCCGCATTTTGTAATTCAAATGAAACACGAAACACTTCAAAGAGGGCAAAAGGTATACTTAAAACAGCTTTCAGGTATATCTTCTTCTGTTACAGGGATTTGATGATAGGAATGAAGTAAATCAATTCGGAAAAAATGGTGGTACTGGATAAAGTGGACGAGAAATCTTGAATATGTGGAACAGGATATTTATCCAGGATTGTAGATGCATTTAATGCCCTGTAGTCACCTTATGGTATCCAGTCATTACTTGATTTATTTGGTACGATATGAAGTGGGGAAAACCAAGGACTTCAGGATATACAAATGATGCCAAGATTAAGCAGATTTTGAAATTTAGCTTTAGCGATTTTCAATTTTTGTTGATTTAATTGTCGAGGTCTAGCATGCATAGGCGGACCACGAATTGAAATATAATGTTTAACGCAGTTTATAATATTATCATTTTGTGATATTGGATTATTTATGGTTGGGGTTGTTTTTAAAGTTTTGAATAGATGGCGTCCGATGGCAAAATGGAACCGATACTGGAAGTCTGAGAATCTGTAATATTTCCAGGAATAGATAAATTTGTGTTGTCAATCAGTTAATATATGTTCATATTAACTGAACAGATTGAAAATCTGCTAGAAAATAGGCGTTTTAACATATGCAATGGTAAATTCCTATTGGAAAATCCGACTCATACCTAGATTTACTTTTAACATAGGTGCTGTCTTATTCCAAATGTATAATAAGCGAACATGTTTGTGCTGACCAGCTAAGACAGTCGCCGTTACTCGTTGGATTGATCGTTTAAATTTTCATCGACGTGAATGAACAAGGCTTTCTGATCTTACTCCAAATTCGTATTGATAAAAACACAGATTGTTTGATGCTGGGTTGAATCGATAACTGCCTGTTTTTCTATTATATCTATATCTCGGTCGGAAACCCGGCTGCAATCGCCGATCATTCATCATAGAATCAAATTTTGAACTTCATTCCGAAAGTTTTGACTCTAATACCTTGAGGTCATGTTTACTTGAATCTGTTCGAATGGCCGACATAGTGTGGTTTATGTTGTGATTATCCACGATTTTGTCTGCGAGCTCTGCCAACTTGGAAAGCAATTTTTCTTCAGCAAATGATATAAATATGGTTGTTATTGTTTGGGGTAGTTTTTCAAACTACAATTGTCGCATGATGGTTTCATCCAACAACAATTCTACTTGGGTCTTAATGATAACTCTGATGTTACTATGGGAGCGGATGACTCAGCTTAAATTGCTGATTTAGTAGGTATATATATATATATATATATATATATATATATATATATATATATATATATATATATATATATATATATATATATTAGACAGACTAACAGGATTATTGATTCTAAACAAGTAGGCGTTTACAGAGACGACGGACTTATTTACATCCTACAGAGTAAGAAGATTATAAGGGCTTTCTAATTTCTGAGTTTTAAAACTGAAATATCATCTAACCATAAAATAGTCAATTTCTTATATGTGATTTTCAACCTCTCTAACACTACCTTTAAGCCATTTCACAAAAAAATCAAACTCTTATTTATATTAATGTAAACTACAATCACCCAAGCCCAATAATTAAACAAATCCCAAACACTGTAAACACTAGAATACATAGATTATCGTCAAAAAAAAAAATAGTGAGCGCAAAATAACTTACTCCCACAAATTCGTGAAAAATAATTTTCGTGCCAGTGTAAAATTCTTTTCTAACTTATGAAAACCATGTAATCAAAAAGTTCACACCTCTATGTGAAATTAGATTTTGGACTTACCATATGGATATAACTATAGAAGCATGCTTCTTCTCTGGGTTCAAAACAATTTCGGATGGCAGTTTGATCTACACGTGTATACACACACATGCACACACACACACATGCACATAATGGGAGAGATGACAACCACCAACACCAACTACGTACTTGTCCTCGCACACAATAGAAGGGAGTAATTAGCAACCGCGTACTAAGACTTCGTCTACGAACTCACAAACACATTAGGATGGCCGTCATAAAATAAGTCTGTTCCCACATTTCACATTGCACTATTTACTTATGAAATAAATTTCACTGCAAGGAAAATTGAACATTTTATTGCTATTGTATATTTCTGAAAGGGATATATAAATGTTATTTCAACTAACGTTCTGCTTCTAATTTTCCTCCAGAAAATAAACTTTTAAATATTTCATTTAAAAGATTTTTTTGTCCTTGTTCTTGATGTTGTTGTTCTTATCGTTGTTGTTAAATGTGTTTAATGCCAAAACTCACATAACAACAAAAATCTGGGTAGATGGATCCCAACAAACAAAATTGTAGAAAACGTATTTGTGAATATAAGATGTACTAACTGTTCTATATTTATCTAATATTTAGCAGGGGTATAAACCAACCATTGTATGTTTCGTTTGTATATTTTACGGCTACGATAAATTATCTCTTTTATCAATTTTCCAGATTTTCTACAGCAATGTCTTTTTCAGATTAAAATTTTCGGTCATGAATAGATAATTTAGCATGACGTGGAAAAAGTAGATATTTTCGTTTAAAATTGTCCTCAATTGTGTAAAGTCCTGGAGCGTCCCTGCCATTTCTATGTTTTCAAACAATTAATCACTTAACGTTTTCGAAAATATTTCACTTTTCGTTTTTCTAACACGTTTGTAGATTGATATTACTTAAGTAAATTTACTCTATGTAAAATTGTTTCCGTCGCATTTTAAAGCTCCATTCACCTTGTCCATTAAATCAGATGTTCTGTAGTTACATTCAAATATTAATGCAATAAAAGTAACATTCAATTACTATAGTTGACTGTCCCTCCTTGAATCGATGATTCTGAGAAATAATATGAATTTCCATAGTCCGTACGTTGAGTGATTAGATTCTCTCATGGCAGAGGTTTTTCAAAAAATAATAAAATCTCGTTTTTATTGCTTTCTTTCTTCATGGGCATACGTAGGTTATAAAATGAGTTAATAAAGATATTTCCTAAAATTATGATTTTATCTGATGTCACTCAATGTCTCTCATCTATCAGTCAATTATTGTGTAGATTCATTGTGTAGCATAGGGCTACAGCTCAACCATATTAGGATTTGCAATTTTTTCTGCAGTATTTAGATTTAATATTACTCAGACAAGGGAGATATTATTAAGAATATGCATTGTAAAAAGATATGATATTTCTAATGGAAAATCGATTGTGTCGAATGTGAAATCGAAGGAAAACGCGAAAATCGAGTAGAATAAAAGTTAAAAAAAATAACTAGGGAACGAAATTAAATAACGGAAGAATTCATGAAATAGAAGGCAGACAGCAGAAAGATAAATTACAAGCGAAAAATGAGTCAAATTTGGAATATAAAAAAAGGAAATTAGAGTTTATAAAACAAAGAAAGAAGTAAATTTCATGATATTTAAAATTAAAAAGAAAACATTGTATAAACAGGATGCATAACTTTGAATACACAAACATCGATTTTAAACGTAACCAACCAATATGACCAACATGACACATCTGCCTTCCAGTTTAGATTGGTCACACATAATTTCAGACGAGAGAGATGAAGTTAATAATAGAATTTTGTCCCAAAAACAACATGTTGTTCATTTTTTTACTTAAAAGATCACATTCTACGTCTTGGATTTTATTTGACTCGCATTTTGAAAATATGGGCTAACGGAAAATATGCAACTATCGCATACACTAAGTTGGCAGCATTCTCTCTCTCTCTCTCTCTCTCTCTATATATATATATATATATATATATATATATATATATATATATATATATACACGCTATATACTGAAAAGAAGAAATACAATAAATAAATAGGTTATAAAACGGTGTCAAAAAACTTTCATGCATTTAGGCGATCCTCACTCGATTTTATTTATTGTTGTCTTTTCATCGATAGTAGTTCTATTTAGGCATCGAACGTTTCATTTTCAGCTGTGCCGTCCATAGACTATTTTATAACTTATTTGTACTATTTACAGTATTATTTTGTTTTATATATATACGTGTATACACACACACACACACACACACACACACACATACACAAACACAATTAAAACACTAAGAAACACCTTCAAACTAAAGCCTAAATTTGCGACTGTGTTTGGCTACGTAAACTGTTTTCATACTGCACATGTCCATAGCAATTCTCCGCGTTACTCAATAATTCCAGGATAATGCAGATAATAGTCTATATCCTTTTCCACATTTTATTATTTTTCTCTGTTTCATGCTATGTGCACATATTTCAGTTAACAGAGTAACTTCCAAATTATATGTGTGATCGAAAGAGAGAGGTAGATATAGATTTAAACATTTAGAGAGAGAGAGTAGGAGAAAGAGTGTGGGAGAGAGAGACATAAAGAAAGTAGGGTAAAAATGAAGAAATGGTGAAAGAAATTTCCAAAATTAAGAAAGAAATCAAATGTATCATGAAGTATATTTCCCCTAAAATTTGCATTTCTTTACCATTTTTTCTCTCCTGGTAAGTATGTTTGGCATATGATTTGGAGAAGTAAAATAATCCAGAAACGCAAAATACTCACATAAATCCTCCCGTAAAAACAAAACCTTCCGGCATTTCATTGAGGTTAATTAGAAAATATGATGTAAATGTTAAATTTCTTTAAAGTTGTCGCATCTATTGTGTTTTCTCTTCACTGAGTCTGATATGAAATCCTTACCTTATGCAATGACTGAACATCACAACAAAATAATCGATTAAATGATGTCATGTATACCAACAGTAATTTCAAATATATAGCACTTTGCCGAAGCAGTGTTTTCAGTTGCTATATTTGGCAAACGATTGTTTCATTTTTCCATTCAATTCAAGCATAGAAGTTAAATTTTATGGCCTGCAATGACTTTAAGAGTAAAGCAAATATCAGTGTCCTTTCCTTATGAATATACAGAGAAAGTGAAAAAGAGTAGAAGCGAAATAATTAAAAAATTAATTTGACGAAGTTAAACAAGGGGCATTCATTTGTATGTAAGAGAGTATTTTCTTGGCTGTGGGTCAAATAATTTAATTCTTGGAGTTTTAAAGTTTGTGTTATATAAATACGAATAAAAGTAACTTGGTGTAATTTCGAATTTATCTAAAAGTGCTGAACGAACTGATACAGAACGGAAGAAAGATAAATGGATGAACGACATAAATATTATTTTAGTGTTTTCTTAAGGACAAATAGTTAAAAAAAGAGAAGAAAAGCTTACCATCTAGATTTTGTCTTGGCTGACTGAAAAGTGCGACAGTCAAGGTAAACATGAACATATTAAACATATTAAATCATTAACATTTGATAAGCTTTCCTACCGTCTTGCTTAAAACTTTTTTTTTATATCGATTCTTATCTAACGTTGACTGGACAAATTTCGTACCGCTGTTGCAGTCAAAAAAAAAAAAAAAAAAAAACACATTTGCTTACTTATGTTAGCAATTCTTTCATTTTCTCTTGAACGCATTAATATTTTTCTATGCAATTCAGTTAAATTTTGCAATTTATCTATTTTGTTTTACAAATTATTTAACTACTGAAAATAAAAATCTCTTGGAATACGCCAATTTATTTAAGTATATAAAACTAAAAGTTTAAGATTATGCACATGGGTTGACACTATTTAATGATTGTTTCTAGAGTATTGTTGCGCTTAGAAGATTTAAACGTATTTGATCTCATGAAATGTTAATAGCTTATACAATTGTCTGTTTTACCTAGAAAAACAAACGAATGAAAATAAGTTGATAACCTGATTATGATTTTTCTTTTCACTTGAGGACAAAATTCAAACTACTTTTAAGCTTAGAATATACAATCCTATCAAGTATAATATAAAATCCTCCTTCATTGTTCTTCTTTTACAAGAACTGATAAGGCAGGTAGAAGTCAGAGGTCGTAGCAGACTTTGTTAAAATATGTTTCACATGTTTTTTCAGTTTATTTATATTTTCTTGATAAACGTTTGTAATATTAAAAAAATGTGAACTTAGGTTTTATCATATTTCAATCTGCAAACATGGGAAGAGTTTATGACCTGGCACAAATCAAGATTTATTTTCAGATTCAATTCATAAGGATTAGTAATATGTATAAATAATTACGCTAATATAACCGCACACACACACTCACTCACCAAACGTACACACACATATTCATATAGGAATATATATATATATATATATATATATATATATATATATATATATATATATATATATATATATATATATATATATATAAGTTATCATGAAAATTGATTCAAACTTTTAAAAAAGTGTTAAAATTAATTGATTTAATTTCAGATGGTGAATCTTGTAGTAAGTTATTAATTCTTTCAAACTTTGCAGTTTGAAAGAATTAATAACTTACTACAGGATTCACCATCTGTAACCGAAGTTTGAGCGTCTTTATGTTGCTAGAAATAATCTTGGTAAAAGTTTAATCTAAATTAAGTTGAAATAAAAGACTACGAGCATTAATTAAAAAAAAAGATTTAGATATCACAATAGTAATAATAATAATAAGGGAAATCACAACCTAGGTTAGTCGGAGTCCAAACAACTTTAAGGAAAAAATCGAAGAAACTGGAAATTAGGGAAAAGATAGTGTCTTTTTTTTTCTTTTTTAACAAAAGAGTGCAAAACAAATTTTAAATTAGTCTGATTAAAATTTTGGTAAGACCTAATTCGTTTTCAAAGATTTGTGTTTTAAATTCGGTAAACAAAATGAAAATATTTAACATACTTTATAAGGGAATAAGAAATATCTGAAATTGTAGCGTGAACAATAATAGGAGATCTCGCACAATATATTTCCATATTATTTGTAAAATAACATAAAATTACGAATAAGTATTTGTTCACAAGATAATGACTTTGTTCGGATTCACAGTTTGTCAGAGTCCCCGAAATAGATCCTTGATGTTTATTTTTGTCTGTTTTGTATTGTTCCAACATTTTCCCTTTTGCTTTTTGTAACATAACTAACGGGACACAGTCTATTTTCTAATTCTGCTCTATATTATACATTTAATTTAAAATTCAACCGATTGAATTATTACTCCTGAAGAAGCGAATTTAATTTTTTATAATGAAACCCTTGAAAAGTAAGAATTTCTTATGTTCTATATATGAAAATGTGTCAACGTAGATGTGAAATTTGTAACTGACATGTGATAAAAATTGTTTTAAATCAATTTTCAATAAATAAACTGAACGTTGGACTTTGATTCATGAAGAAATAGGACACATGTGAAAGAAAAATAAGTCCAAACGTGAAACTAAGCCAAGGGAAATGACATGTGACCTATAACATAGATTAAACGAAAAGTAGGTAGTTAAGTGCTCGTTGTGTGATTTCTTCATTTACAAAATTCAACATCTGTTAAATTCTCCATAGAAATTATTTGTGATACAATGAATTTTATCAGTGAATGGAGAAAGGACGAAGAAAGACTTGTATGGAAAATTTCAAAAGTAAAAAAGTGTGAAATGAAGACGGGAAGCAAGGTGGACATATCAATTTTCTTCTCTCTCTCTCTCTCTCTCTCTCTCTCTCTCTCTATATATATATATATATATATATATATATATATATATATATATATATATATATATGAATGTGTGTATGTGTGCGTGTATGATGCATATTAGGTACCTCCGCAAAATCGGTAAAATTAGAATACTGTGATGAAAAAAATGGTACAAACCTAATGAAAATAAAGTTTTATTGTCAAATTTTTTGTTATTATTAAAACGAAAGATCAAAATATTTTTAGAATATTCAATAACTTTTTATTCCGTCTTAGAATATTCGAAATTTTTTCTTTCTTTTTTTTTCTTCTTGCGTCAGCGGATGTACTATAAATTAGCATATCGAATTTTAACTTGTTTTTTCAGGTGAATGATATTAAATTGGAAATTCTTGCAAAATCAAATAATTGCCTAATTTTAATGAAACATACTGGACTTATTTACACATGAATGGAAATATTTTAGAAAGTTTTGGTAAAATACATACATTTTTAAATGTGTTTCACTTTACTATTTTAATTTTATGAAACTTCGAGAAATTTAACGAGATAAAGTAACTATATTAGTTAAAAGCAGAACTCTTTGGAAAATTTTAATCATCAATATTTGCGTCAAGGATTTTTCTTTGTCACAATGCGTCTCTCGTTTTCTGGACATGTGTAGATGTATCAACATCAACAAACCTCAGTCCGATGAAATTCTAACCGATGAAACGCGTAACAAAAATTCCAGTTTGTCATACTCTCTCTCTCTATATATATATATATATAGAGAGAGAGAGAGATAGATAGATAGATAGATAGATAGATAGATAGATAGATAGATAGATAGATGTGTGTGTGTGTAAAAATATCTGATAAAGTATACCTGTAAAAAAGGACAATATGAATAATGGCAAAAGGAAAACTAGCCGATGCTTTTCGTCCTCTGAGGGACTTTATTAAGGCAAATGCAAGGAATTGATTTTTTAACAAGTATTTATATACAAGAACAAAAATGTTTTTGGTATTTCAATTTTTTAAAGTTTAGAAACGCTCATAAATATTCATCAGTTTAACTGAAAGTCGGGCAAGCTATGGAAGACACGATGTTACATAAAAATCAATGTCTAATAAATGAAAATGAGTAAGTGATATTTTTTAGTTTTTATTTAAATTAGATGCGAAATGTTTTTAAATTATTTTATTTTGGGATTAATTTATGTGTCATATATTTTGAGTAACTTAAGGGTAATGATTTATGCGTTTTTATCAATTTAAAAAAATGAAGTCATCTATTTTGGCCTGACTAAGTAGTAATTCTTTCAGGAATGGAGATATTAAAAAAAAACTGTGGGACAGATTTATATTTTGGCAAGATTCAATAACGGCACTTTCCATAATTTTCATTCTAAGTATGTTACTTTTTTAAAAAATGAGTATGTCATTCTTTCGATCAAAGTTGTGGTTAAATTTATATCTCTGTATAACTAATGCATTTAATAAATTGTTGAGTGTTCTTTTTGTTAAGCCTAGATACGTTATTGTTTCTGCAATTTTCCCCATTTTTTCTGCAATTTTCCCCATTTTTTCTGCAATTTTCCCCAATTTATTATATATATGCCTGCTTCAAAATTATCATTTTTATGTGTATGTTTGGTTCTTATCATATCTATAATAGTTTTGGATGTGGTTGTAATTATATTTATTGGATAGATTCTTTTGGATAGTCGATGTTATGGTGTTAGTAAGTAGTATTATGCGTATGTCTTTTTCTAGTTTATTGTTGTTAATAACGCTGTTAACTTTTTTGTAGTTGTATATCTTGTATGACTTTACCGTATCAATCTGGATGAAATAAGAAGAATATTGGAAATTTTCAAAGTGTTTTCTATGCATATTTGTTCTTTGGGTTAGTATGGATGCATAGTGATTTTAAATAGGATCATGTAATTATTCCAGATTTCATCTTGTTTCAATGGTTGGAATAAAAAATGACCAGGTGATTCTTGTTGGTATGTTATCTGTAAACTTCCATTTTACTTCTGTGTAGGACGAATAAATTGTTAAAACAAGATTCAAAGCAAAGTCTTTCGTGGGTTCAACGTTACATAGTTTGTTGACAAGATCGGGTAAAATTATGTCTAGTGTATATATTAGTGGAAAATCATTTACGTATCTAAAACAAGAATAATTTTCTAGTAAAATATTTTTAAAAGCTCCACTTTCTTGAAATTTAAAAAACAGACAAGCCAAAAACCAATTGAGAAGAGACTCCATCACTAAACCAAATTTCTGTCTATAAAAATTGTTATCGAAGAGGGTTGGAGATTGAATATCATATTTTTATGATTTTATGTATGGGAATTTCTTTCAGGAACATTTGTGCATATACCTATATTCGTTTTTGATGGCAATGCTTTTAATTTATTTAACGGAACACCAGAGTTTTTTGTTTTTTTATGGGTGTGATGCGCAAATTGCACGAAATAATGGGGGATCCAAATTTTTGTTAGTTTGACAGCAAATTTAAGAGAGGCACTGCCTATTCCAGATATACTGAGTCTCATCGGGATGTTTGGCTAATATATTTTTGGTTCGGTTCGTTTTCGGAAGTCTCGGCCTGAAATTACCTTATTTTTTTAAATAATTTCTTGGCCCCGTTTTTAAAATTTTTGTCTTTTTTTATGACTTTCTATTCATTTATTTTTTGTAGATATTATCGTCATCGAGGTGATTTTTTTCGATAAACCTGTATGTACATAACTGTATTTCCAGTACCTTTCTCGGAGGGAGATATAAAAATGCTATATTTCTTTCAGTTTTTCTTATACCTGCGGGGAAGTGGGATTTCATTATTTTTTACGAGTGTGGCTGTACTTAGACCCTGAATCTATCATTTGTTAAAATCCTAGTCATTGTGGTGTTGATTTTGAATCATCATATCCGTAAAATGATAATCTTTCGATACCCGGTGTAAATTTTTAAACCGGAACTAAGAGCTTCCAGTTGGGTAAATTTGTAATTAAGTTCTTTCTTTCTGCCGATTTTAGATTTTATTTTTGAAAAAACAATAAGATGTTCGCTCTTGTAAATAAATAATTGTTGCAATGTAGGTTCTTTACATTTAAAGTCCTCCAAAGGACGAAACCCATCGCCTAAGACACTTTTTTAATTTGTCTTTATATTTATATATTATTAAACACACATACACACACACATATATATATATTGATGCATGTTTCATTAAATAATATAGACAAGTTTTGTGCATTTATTTTTAAAAATTCCTTTCATATTGTCTGATAAGCTTAATAACATTACTGTTATTGAAAGATGAAAGAAAAACACCATATTGATACATTTTTTTTTAATCCTATCTAAGCTTTCGACTTACATAAACCATTATCAAAGATGACAATAACATTTCAATATATTAAACAATACACTGAAAAAACGATAATGATTGCCTGTTTTTCTTGCATGAAAGATTTCCACGCAACGACAAACTCGTGTATACGAGACGTAGAAGCGAAAATTTCATCGCAGCTCCTGACTTCACACATGATCACGCGAGAGTGAAAAAGAGAAGTATTGTTTAATATATTGAAATATTTATTGGTGTATTGTTTAATATAAAACTTGTCTATATTATTTAATGAAACATGCATCAATGAAAAAATGTTGCCTAAATACAAACACAATATATATATATATATATATATATATGTTTAATCGCGTATTTGAATGGCAATCCCACATATATAAAGGTTTCGTTGAAGATGACTGACAAGTTACAGCGATGAAGGTTTTATAATATTTTCTTGCATGCGTACATGATATATTTTTTTTTGGGGGGGGGGGACATTTAGTGTGTAAGAACTGTCTACATTCTTTTAATCATTTCACCCCAAGCAAAGCAATAATGCCACGGAAACGCAAATGGTTACTGGGAGTGGAAGAAAACGAGAAGTCGTTTGTCAGGAGAAATGATAATAAAAGAACAGGATTCAGGAAGACAGAAAATGGCGATTTACTCGGCACATAAATTTTAATTGATTGCTTGTAGCTGCGGAGCAATAAACCAGAATAGATTTCCCGAGGCGGAAAGGCGAGAAAAGAGACTAGAATAGAACTTATATTATATCTAACCACTTAAACAGGAAAACAATGAGGCCTAGTAGCCAATGAAATAACACATTTATATACACAGGGTCTATGTACAAAGGAGGAAAGTTGCTTCGACTTTTTTGATTTATCTATTAGGCATTATCAAGGATGATTTTGTCTTTTTCCTTATCAGCTAATTTAAATTAGTTTGTATATATCTGTATATATATATATATATATATATATATATATATATATATATATATATATATACATAGGTACCGACATGGGATCGCTGGAAAATGAGCATAGCAGGATAATAACGGCCTTAAACTTGATGAAAATATTTTTTATCAGCAAAATTGACAGAAAATCAATCGTCAGCCATTTTTAACTTTTGTTTACAAAAGTAAAAGTCTCCGTTTAAAATTTGTTTAAAAATCAATTATGATTTTTTAAAAATTAATTTAAGAAAATTAGAAATTATAAAGTTTATTTAATGTATTTTGAAATAAGCATTACTTAATTTCTGCGCTGAAAAAAAAGTACTTTCAAATGATAGAAAACGGTTTTAACAGAGGTGTTGATTGACAAGTGACTTGTGTATGATTTCATCTTACGGGAGGAAAAGTTATAGTACGGAATGTTACAAGTGACAGTTTAGCTTTATGTGAACAACTTATTTACCTCGTTATTTTTAAGTAGGCATACCATGATAAAAACGGCCTTAAATTTGACGAAAGCAGAATTTTATCGTCAAAATGTTTATGTTACTACCAACGCAAACCACACGTGACGGACTATTGTTTTCATGATGCTTCCGGTCTTCCGTATATTTGAATTTAAGCTATGTTGGGGCACAAAAAACACATGCTATATAAGATTTTTAGCTATTGGCAACTTGCTGATTGTAACCAGCTTTATTTTATAATCTGTAAATGATATTTATCTACTTAATAACACCATTGACTAAGCTGTACAAGATTTTCATTAATTTTAGAATACTTAACAAACTTAATGTAAAGAAAAATAATTTAAGAAATAACAAATAATTGTTGTAAAAATTTATTTTTCATCGAAAACGTTTTTTTGCTTTCAGAAAATATCCATATTCATACAAACAAGTAAAAGCAACTAAAATCTTTTGAAATTAAATAATATCTTTGTTTTATTGAGTTTTGTATGTTACAATTCAGAGCTGATTTTAAGGTAGAAGAGGGTCAACTGAAAAAAAATGATTTGCTTTCCTCAAATTTTTTATCTAATTAATCACTAAAACTGTACAATTTAGAATTTCATGGGTTTTCATGAAATTAATTATGGGTTGTAGTAATAAATACAAAAATAATTTTACCATGACTTTAAAAAAATAAACATATAATAATTTCCATCATTTGTGAATAGTTTCTGAAAGTTTCATTAAAATCCGACAATTATTTTTATTTTTGCAAGATTTTCAAATTTAATGACTGCCATTAAAAAAAAATACACAAAAATCCGCCATGTTATTTAGTAGGGCATTCGCTGATGATGAGAAACGAGATTTATAAATCAAAAGTTAGAATGCTCTAATAAAGACAGAAACATTTTGGAAAATAATTAAAAATTACTTTGTTCACTTTGACGATAAAATTTTGTTTTCGTCAAGTTTAAGGACGTTATTATCCTGCTATGCTCATTTTCCAGCGATCTCATGTTGCTACCTGATATATATATATATATATATATATATATATATATATATATGTGTGTGTGTGTGTGTGTG